AATAGAACAAGTTGTAATAATAGCTAGGAACTCCAAACAAGTGATCCTAAGGTTTTCTACAACTATTGACTGCAACTAACGAGCTAGTATGGTGATCCAACGACCTCCTACAGCTCCGGTAAGCAACTAGCAAATATGTACGGTGATCGTACGACTCCGGACAGCAGCTAGGAATTTTGAATAGCGTCTGTATGAGTTCCTATGAACCTAAACAGCAATGGGCAGCACCAATGCGGAGAGACGATGGTGGACAGCTACTAGCTGGCTTTCTACAGACCCAAACGGTGGTGGATAGCTCCTAGGTGGCTTCCTACGAAACCAAATCGTGGTGGACAACTCCTAGGTGGCTTCTTACGAACCCAAATCGTGGTGGGCAGCAACTAAATGGCTTCCTACGAACCCAAATCGTAGTGGACAGCTACTAGGTGGCTTCCCACGATCCAAAATCGTGGTCGACAGCTCCTTGGTGAACCCAAATAGTGGTGGGCAGCTCCTAGGTGGCTTCCCACGAACCCAAATCGTGGCGGGCAGCTCTCTACAGCATTCCTATGACACTGTGCAACAACTAGAAGCATTTGAGCTTCCTACGACACTGGGCAGCAACTAGAAGCATTGGGCAGCGGTCCTACAGCATCCTACGACACTGGGCAGCAACTAGAAGTATTGGACAGCAATCTTACAGCTTCCTACGACACTGGGTAGCAACTAGAAGCATTGGACAGCGGTCCTACAGCTTCTCGCAGCAAAGAACACTTTTACAGTGACTAACGACAGCTATTAATCACCGAACAACACTTTCAAGCCCCCCCAAACTGCAGTTTTCAAACATCTGAACGCTACCTACATTTCTTCCGAAACAACATATAAACCAACCCCAAGAAGATGCATTTAAACGTTCCCCAAATAATGTGTAGTATGCAGTGAAAGAATTCATTTGTCATGGATGCACGTAATCGAGTTCCAAGTGTGGGGCGTGTGTGTGAAAAATTGAGACAAAGGTGTTAGATATGCGAATTTGCAAACAAGACCATCAAAGAGCCATTTAATTCCTGAAGTAAACGATCATTTGGAGCTTAAGTGTGAGTTATAACACATATGAATGTACCACAATTAAGAAAAGTTGTACTTATACGATTGGGAATTAAGGATCGTGCATGTGAACTCACGAGAGTGAGGAAATCTATACATACGCAATTGAAGCTCAAGCATCAAGTGTCAAATATTTATGAATTAGAGAATCCGTATACTCAAATTTTACAAAAGCGAAGCACCAAAATTTTCCAACAATATGAAAGACTTCAGGTTTTCTTCAAAAGCATAACATTAAAATTTTCAGATTTTTTTTTTGCAAATCTAAAGTCATGAAACATTCAAAGTTCTCAAACAAAAAGATAAATAAGTCTCGAGTCTCTTTGCTTCTCATAAATCTTTTCAAAACGATAACTATATGCAGGACCAAGACAATATTTGAATCTGAAGACCGCAAGAGGCAAACCAAATAGCATAACTTTAACAACTTAAGGCAAAAGAGGGGTGTGTAACTTTAAATTTATCTGGCTTACCTGGGTCAGAAGCACAAAGGAGAGGAAACTAAGGTTGCGTTCCACAGAGAGGAGCAGGAGGCGAACTTTTTCGTTTGCAGAAGAGGGATGCAGTGTCGATCGGTTGTTCGACGTGAGGAGCTCGTGATGTCGAATGGGGCTTTCGATCTCTGAGGGAGGCGAAGCAGACGTACGCAGGAGAGCTGAGCGGTTTCAGTTCTTCCTGTCGAGCGGAATTAAACAGAGAACCGAGATCTAGCGAAGGCTTCGCTCGGGAGAGTGAGGCGAACAGGCACGAGCAGAGGAGCGGAGGACTTCAGCGCAGGAGTTGAGCGCTTCAGTTCGCTGGAAGGAAGAATCCTATCCTATCTAGCGAGAGAGACGAGCAGGAGAAGAGCGGGGAGCAGGTGAACCTTCTGTTCACAGAGGAGCGCGGGATCAAGAGGAGCAGGCAAGCGAAGAAAAACAAAAAAAGGGAAGCGGGAGAGAGAGTTGACAAGCGGGCTCAGTGCAGAGGCGAGCGGAAGAGCCGAATCGTGCCGAGAAAGAGAGCCGAATCGTGCCGAGAGGGAGGAAGAAGGCCAACGTCCCCTTCTAGAATAGGAGCGGGCCAAATTAATCGGACGACCGGGCTCGGAGCCGTTAGCTGAAGCTTTGGCGGGAATATAAATAATTTTCATATGCAAATGAGGTTTAAATGGAAGGTATTAACACCTAAATAAATTTAATTAAGGCAGAATTTAAATAATTCGTTTGAATTTTGAAATTTGAATTTCAAATTCAGTTGAGCTGGTGTTTAGCCTGTGTCCAACCCGAGTTCAGCCTGAATCAAGCCCGAGTCGAACCTGGGTTGAACCCGGGCTCGCGCACCGGTAAAAAAAATGCATCGATATTCATGTTGGTCGCTCGCGCGCGAAACTATAAAGATATGAGTGTCCTTAGCTAAAGTCGACGTTACAGAGGCATTGGCGCGGTCCGTTTCGTCATCCGGGATCGTCCGAACGAGTTTGCCGACGGGTGAGTCAAATTAAGCCAAAATTGTGCAGGATGCGATGCGCGCGCAAAAATGCGGCGTTATCGAGCGTTTGGGTCGCCAAGGGGTTTCCTAGGGGCTGCTCCTATTAACGTAGGAATTCGACTCGAGTTTCATGTGTAGATCCTAATCAACTCAACGGCATGCCGAGGATTTGGGACCGCCAATGCGAAACTCGAAAGAGTGACGAGGTGGCTCGAATTTTCTAAATGGTGTGAATTCCGTACTAGTCTTCTAGGAGGGTCAAACAAGAGAAACCTAAAGCTAGACCCTAGGCTCTAAAAAGAGAAGTGAATACCTCATCCGAAAATGAGGTCAACAACCATGTCAATGTTTTGAGCAAATGACTAAATATCTTTTTTCCTTTGCTTTCATTCCAATAAATAATAGTCTCGACAATCTATTTTAGGCATCCTAATAATATATAATAATTTGTAATAATTCATATTCCTAATCTAACTAGTCAATTATAAGGAAAGAATATGTACAATTAATATACATAATTTAATTTAACAATTTAAATAAGGAAACTCTTAATTCTGCCCGATTTCAGTTAATTTTGATTGATATTACACAGATTGGTATGACTCAACTTGCTTGATGTTCAATACAACTCGCATTGCATATGAACTATGAAACCTGTAAATAATACGAACGGCTACTTTTGGTAGGAAGTTTGCAAGAAAATAGGGTTCAAGCCAAATACTTACAAATCAAAGAATTGGCTTCCTTGAGAATTGCAGATGGGATAACAGGGTTAGCCTAGGGATTCAAAATCACCTCAATTTACATGCCTTATTCCCTCAATTTAAGTTCAAAAAATTCTTGGGTGGATAGGTTTTCAGATCAAAGATATGATACTCTTCAAAGTCCTCAACGACTAACAAGAAAATTCTTTAATTTCACCAAATCAACATGAATGGCTACAGTCTAGTATAATTGGGTTTTGAAGAGATTTGTTGATTGGTTGTATTTCCTATACATCGTTAGTAGATTAAAGTTTAGTAGATAATATCTTATTTCTTCTTCCAATTCCATAAGCTTTTAAAAAAATGAATCACATAAATATTATTCTCTGTGTGTGCTTGATCTCTTGATAATAACTAATGGCTTATTGCATTTCTCTCTAGGAGGTTCTTCTGCCTAAAATTAGAGATTTTGGTATTACAAATTAGTGTTAGAGCAAGAAATAGTGAAGTTTAATGACTAAGTTTAAAATCGACACAGTGTATTATTGAAGAGTTTTGGGTATTAAAGAACCAAGGTGCATGACCCTTTATTCAATGCAGAAACATGAAGCGCTAGTTATGCATTTAAATATACTTGCAATAATGAGTGCAGAAGAAAAGATTAATATTGTTGAAAAATATATTTCAACAATTTAGTAATGTTTGACAAACGAGGTCAATAATTTCTTCAAAATACTTTATCAGTAACCCTAACTCCTAAAAGCACACCCATAAATTATTTTTTTCAAAATTTATATCCCAAACATAATTATTACAAATGCAAACATACAATTTCTCAAAATCTTCTTCACATTCTTCCAATATTTAGTAACTGGGGAGTAATGATGTACCTGTTGGTGTTGAGGAGATTATATGATGGGCAGGCTTGCCTCTATTTATGATAGAGACAAGTTCATTAGTACAAAAAATTATTTATAGTGTAAGAAGTTAGAGCACATCAAGAGAGAGTAGTGTAAAAAACAAGTAGGAGCAACAGGATTCATTGTTAGTAATAAAGATCATTACAAATATGTCTCCATGGCAAATTACCTAGCATTAAACTCAATTTATTCTTTAATATCAAAATTATCTTCCTAGACCTACAATCCATTACCCTTGACAATGATTTAAGATACAAAAAAAATGATTCATCTATAATTGCATAATAATAAGCAAATTCTAAATTCATAAATACAGACATAAAAATGTTGCTTGTTCTATAATTTGGCATTCTTTTGACGATTTACAATTTCACCAAAAAAAATATGAAACCAATGCTACAATTCTCCAAACCTCACCTCAACCTAAACGTTTACCTTAAAGCATCTTCTTCAAAACCAAGTAATTTTCTATAGTTCAATTAATAAAAATTCAAGATTTTAATCCAAGATAGTCTCCAATTTATTAATTTCTCAAAATTGCATTCCCCCAACTTACTTCAATGCTTTCATTATTAACCAAAATTTCATTAGCTTATGGTGTATCATTATTATGGTGTATCAATGTCTTGGAGGTTGCTTTCATTATTAACCAAAATTTCATTAGTTTTACTTTCACGATGGCAAGAAGGTGCTCTGATCTGTGGTGATAACCATCTTTAAGGGCTCAAGCGATGAACCATAGTTCTATGAATGTTTCTAAACTTTAAAAAATAAATTACTATAAAATAAAAAATTGAAAAGGGCACAAGGCATTGACCTGTTCGTAAGAACTCTGGCGGGGTATAAGCCAAGTTTGTACTATAGCTTTTTCCATCTCTACTATTTTTCATAAGACCAAAGCTCGACAAACAAGGATCACCATCCTGTTGAAGTTGCAAGAATTTGATATCAAAATCAATCATATTGTTGCCAAAAGATGAAAGAAAAAAAGCATATCAATGTATTGTAAATAATATAATATAAGTGCATAAGTAAATGGATTAGACGATACTTTTATGTGACACTAACAAGAAAAGTTCACTCAATTTTAAAAAGAAAGAAAAAGAAAATTACACTTCAAATTTAACAATATGTAGAAAGTAACATGAACATTAGATAAAAAGGTACAATGTCTTACTGAGGAGAGAACTGAAGAGCCAGTTTGCTATATTTTTTCCTAAATTTTAGGGATACTGAAGAATTTTATGAAGCGCTTTTAACTATGTAAATATTTAGCAACCATGAAAACATGGAAGATAAAAAATTGCATCAGAATTATGCCTACATCAAAAAACCAAATAAAAAATAAAAAATCATGATTGAGTCATTTTCTCCGGTTGCATCATATAAAAAATAGATTGTTTAAGAATGATTTACATATGGCAACTAGCATTTGATTGAATTGATATGTGGCACAAATTGGATTAAATTTCAAGCACTCGATTTCATTTAAGTGTTTATATTTTAATTAGAAAATTAAATACCGAGTAAAATTTGATCCTTTCAAAAGTGCCCACTGATTTCACCAAAAAAAAAATAATTGTTACTTATTATTTCTCAAATGACAAACTTTAAAATAGCTTTTATCACTTTATTTATCCAACAAGCAATAAGTTAAGAAATACAAGGTTTTGACATTTCGACTATTCTGTTGAAAGAAAAATAAATACAAGCAAATTTAATGGGGGATTTGGAACTCCCAAAGCAGGTCATTTTCATTATATTTGAAATTAACACAATGCAAGCTATTTTTGAATACGTGTGACCAAGCATTCATATGATGCTATCTCCATATGCCTCCCTCACGAAATGACAACTCGTGACAACAAACACGCCATTGTTGGTAAGCCTAATCTGCCAAATCAATGTCATGCCCTAAGAAATTAACAAAACCAAAAATTAAGAATTTTATATTTAAACATTAAAACGTAATCTCATGAATTTATTCTATAAACAACCAAACACCAAAAAATACTTGAAATACATTAAATTAAAATCACAATACATTTAGAAAATACCTTAATTCAATATAATCGCATCCAAACTGCCCCAAAAACGGTATGGCTTACGTGATTTTTTTCAGAGATTCATAATCATCAGAATCCAAGTTATCAGTTTATGAAATCAACCCATAACAAATAAGGAAATTATAAGATAAACAATAAAATTAAAGGGAAACAGATCTTACCATAAAAAAAATATTTAGAATCAACTAATAATAAAAATTATTATTACTATTAAAATCATTATATAACAATTTTCAGCACATAATAATTACAGCTACTACATATATATTTGACCAACGAGAAAGTATATAATAACTTGAAAGTATAATAAGTAAATTTATTATACTTTGTAATATAGCTGACGCGAGAGTTTACCGACTGCGGTACCGCGAAAGTGTTACCATAATAGCTACAATAATTGCGGTCCCACTTTCCTTTCCTTTCCTGATGCTTTCTCATTATAATTCCTTTGCTTCTCTACTTCTTTTTTATTCCTCTCCTTGCCTATGATATCTTTCTAGTCCTATTGTTTACCTATTTTATCTACAAATCCCTTCTTTATATAGGTGTTATTTTCTGAGGTTAGAGAAGGAGATTTTTTTATTATTGTTGATTTCAGCTACTGCCTTTGAAGTGCTCTTCACCTCCAGGTGTTGTATTCGACGGCAAGAAGGTGCTTTGATTGGTATTCACTGAGTGAAACTGTCTGGAGGTTGGTATTCACTGAGTGAAACTGTCTGGAGGTAGAGCTTTAGTGAAGAGACTTCAAGTTGAGTATGAGTTGGAATGTAAATAATAACACCATTGACCTTTTTAGAGATAAAAGGTATATCAAACTCAATTTGTTTGGTCCTTCCATTATGCACAAGATCCTTTACAATATTAATGACGTTATGGTTGTCACAGAATATTTTTATAAGATTGATCGTATAGTAGCCTAACTCATTTAGTAACCATTGAAGCCACATTCCTTTAAAAATTCCCAAAGCAAATGATTGGTACTAAGATTCCACACTACTTCTAGGGACCATTACTTATTTTTTGCACCTCCATTTGACAATATTTCCCCAAACATAAGATCAAAGCCAAAAAGTGGACCTCTTGTCTGTGATTTTTCCTCTCAACTTGTATCAATGTCAACCTCTACCTCCCTGTTGTCTTATTTCTTAAACAATAGCCCTCAGAAAGTGGCCTTTTTTTAAGAAACCTAAATATTTTGTAAATCATCTTCAAATGTTCTTCATTCGAACTATTAATATGTTGACTCATTATGTCTACTAAATAGAGAAAATTAGGTCTAGTGTATCATTGTTAGATAAACACACCTATCAGGCTCTAGTATCTACCTTTACCACTGTTGTCTCTTCTCCCCTAAATGCAACTTTTTTATAGAAATCTATAGAAGTCTCCGCAGGTTTGCACCCTAGCATTCAGGTCTCTTTTAGTCATGTAGAATATATTTTTTATGATATATCAAAATACCTACCTTGAACCTAGCTATTCCATTCCCATAAGTATACCATCACTTGAACCTTACTTTCAAATTATGTGGCAAAACCCTCCATAATCTTCTCAATCACCTTTTCATTATCACCAGTCAAGATTATGGGTGCATTGTAGGCAGCTTTTTAGCTACAAGCGACAGCTAAATGCAACTTTGTGTTTGAAAAAATGTTGTGGCGCATGTTTGGGCTTATTTGAGTAAACTGTGGGACGTTAGTTCGACCCTACAACTCGTGTTTTGTTCATAAAAGTTTATGGTCATGCCCTCGTGTTCTATTGGACTCAACGATTCCCTACCCTCAAAGACTCTTTTCGACCCCACGACCCTGTCGTGCTTCTCTCATGATCCTATACCCTAGCTTCTCTTCCTCTCCACCCTAACTGTGGTCGGCGGTTCTGGCTGCATCTATCTTCTTCTTATTTCCTCCCTTCTCTCTGATATATGGTTCCGGTCGCACTATCCTATTTTCATTTCCAGTATTCTCAACCCAACACTATCGGCGTTGATATTTTAGTTATGGTTTGAGATTTGCCATTTGTGGCTTGCTCCTAAAGTTTTATGACTTTGGCTTATTTGCGGTTTCCAACTTTTGTTTCGTTGCATGTACGGCCTTTGCCCTATCGTCCATGTGGGAAGGTTTCTATGTGAACCTATTTGAGATTTTTGACAATTTGCTTTACCTGTCTGGCTTGTGCTCTTTGTCATATTTTGGAAGGGTAAGTGGGAAACGCATGATTTGAAGCCCTACGCGAATACTGACATTTTTATGGTTTGTGGTTGGGTTCATGTGATTTGTTGGCCTTTGCTTGATTTTTTTTTTTTTTTTTTTTTTTTTTTTTTTTTGCCCAGTGTGGCTTGTTCAGTTGGGGCACTTCCCCTATTTTATTTTTTTAGTTCAATTGGAGTAGACTTGCTATTCTACTCGTCGGTTTATTCTTGTTGGTGGTTTTCCCTATTTGTTGGATTAAGCAGTGCTATGTTGGTGGTGATGTTTGTAGTGGTGGTCTGGGTGATGCTTTTTTTGTGGCACGGTGGTGGTAATTTTGTGTCAAGGATTATGTTGTGTGTGGTTGTTTTGTGCCATGGGATGTTGGTAATATGGTGGTGGTGATGTTTGTCGTGATGGTGTGGGTGATGCTTTTTTTGTGCCACACTTGTGGTAATGTTGTTTCATGGTGGATTGTGTATGTTGGGTGTGGTTGTTTTGTGCCATGGGGTTTTGGCGACATGATGCTGGAGATGCTACTGGCGTTGTGTGTAGATGTTGGGGGTGATTCTCAGTGTCATGGTGGTGTTGTTGGGTCATGTTGGTGATGGTTTACTTGTCATATTGGCCATGTTGTTAATGGTGTTGTTGGTGGTGTGTGTGGATGTTGGTGGCAGCTTTTTAGTGTAAGGGTGGTGGTGATGTTGGTGGTGTGTGTAGATGCTGATGATAGTTTTTTTTAGTGATATTGTAGTGGCGGTGTTCACGATGATGTCTTAGTGGTGTTGTTGGTGATAGTTTTTTTGTGCCATGTTGGTGGTGTTGGTGATTTGTGTGCATGTCAGTGGTAGGGCGTTTGTGATATTGGTCGTGTGGTTAGTGGTGGTGATGATTGACAACAACTTTATATATACTTAAAAATACAAAATTTTGATACTGCTGCTAGAAAATTTAAATTCCCGGCAACGGCGCCGAAAACTTGATAACGATTATAGATTTGATAAAGATGTGTATAAAATATTCAATAATTGCTAATTGCAAAGTCACACTTATCAACGCAAGTATACGTATCGCTCAAATAATACAGGGCTCTAATGGAGTCTTAAATATCGATCTCGCAGGGAGTAATATTAGAGGCTACGAACTAAGATTTAAAAAATCAATACTTAATCACAACAATATAGTTCAATTTGCATATTTGTCACTAATAGGCAATTGAAATAAAAATATAATTTTAATAAACTCTTAATTAACTAATTCTACTAATAAAGTTTCTAATGTGAACTTCAATATATAAGAAAGCATCATTCTCCTTGTCAAGATATTTAAGTGAATGGATAAATTGACTCAGTTCAAACTGTATTGTGTCAAATAGGAGCATACATATTCTTTACACTTTGAACCAGGCATAAAGAACATTGACTAATCCTATGCTTGGTTACTGATACTGACTCTACGGCGAGGATGGGAGGATACTGGCTCTCACTTTGGAGCTCTCATGTTCCCCTCGCTTGAGGGCTAACATTTACACTTCAGCACCCAAACGATAGGACTGAATCGAGGATTTTAGTGTGTCACTCTAAAATCTTCATATCTATGCCCGATAATTTTTATTCCCCTATTTATTTGCACCCAACTTTCAAGGACTTTGACCCTTTGACCTTTTGG